AACGAGTATATTTAAAATATATTAAATACAAAGTAGCATTTTAAAAATGAACTAGGCTCCTAACGAGGAAGTCTCGAGTAAGAATCCGGGTTCAAGTGAGTAGAATGTCTTTGAGTCCAACCAGCTATGATGGGTAACTAACTGAGGTTAGTGAAAAAAAAAGCGGATGGCTGACCACACTATATCCACAGATGCTCTGGAACAGATGAGCTGTATTTTATCTGCTCCATGCGTCTTGGGCATGAACGGGAACAGATGACGGTGATGTTGATGATGATGTTGTGGACACATGTCAGTATTATTAGTGTTGAAAAAATTACTATTTCAATCTTAATTATTCTTTTTTCAGTCCGTCTGTTCTTTTCGTCGGTCCGTCTGTTCGTCTGTCCCTCTACTTTTCTGCCAGTCTGTCCGTCTGCCCAACTGACTGTATGCAGCCTTTTCGACTCTCCATGCGTCCGTCTGTCTGTCTGTCTGTCTGTCTGTCTGTCCATCTGTCCGTCTGTAAACAAAACCAAAAATCTGCTTATTACAGATCAGATTACAAACAAAAGTAAAAACAAAGTCAAAAATGAAAATAAATAAAATCTGACATTGGCCGGTCCAACTCTGTCGAACAGTGTTAACATTTTATCAAACGCTAGATTTAAAATTTATGCGTAAAAGACCCATACCCCCAAGCATTTATGCAAATTTACGAATGGATAATCGATATATTTTTTTCATATAAACATATGTTCATCTTTTTTTCTTAACCATACATCATAAACCAACCATATACATTGTTCTTGCCTAGTAAATCGTAACACAACGAAAATCAAGTGTTCACGATTTGTAGAATAAACAATTTATGTCTCGAGAATTTCTATTTTTTTCTTTAGCCCTTCCTGGTCCGGCGGTACGACTGATAACAATCAATGGGTGGACTGGGTGTGACTATGACGTCCGGGCAACATTTAAAAGGGGCCCCCAAAACCAGATTAAAATTTTTATTGTGCATTTTGATAAGCAGTAAAACTTGAATATAATTTAGGGTATTATCATGAAGGAATGGTAAACTGAAAACTTAAAAAAAAACAACATAACTTTAATAGGCCTATTACATCACCGTTTCTGGGGCCCAACAAGATTTTATCCTGGGGGACCAACGGGATTTTTTCCCGGTAGACGGGCAAGCTAGTTCACCCATGGCCACAGTCAATTTATAATGACATAGCACACCCTTTTACATACAGAGAGAGAGAGAGAGAGAGAGAGAAAGAGTGAGAGAGAATGAGAGAGATAGAGGGAGATAGATTGAGAGAGCAAAAGAGAGAGAGAGAGAGGAAGAGTGAGAGAGAATGAGAGAGAGAGAGTTAGATAAAGAGAGTGAGCGTGAGAGAGTGATAGAGAGAGAGAGAGAAAGAGGGAGAGTGAGAGAGAGATAGAGAGTTAGTGAGAGAGTGAGGGAGAGAGAGATTGAGAGAGTGAAAGAGAAAGAGAGAGAGAATGAGAAAGAGATAGTGTGAGAGAGAGAGAGAGATACATACATATTAATATGTATAAAACACTTTGAATTAAAGAATTAAAAACGTATAAGAAATACATAGACTATAGGAGTTAGGGGAAGAAATCTCATTTCACTTTTTTTTTCTGGCGAACTGAACGACAGATTGAGAAGGACGATACATCGATTGTGACAGATCGAACAATCTTTGAGCTTGACATCTGCCGCCGATGATTGCTGATACAATTAGCACGGGAACTATATACGTTTCGGAGTTTAACATTTAGAACTGCTAATTGCTAACTGCTAACTTTACCACAACAGCAAGGCTCAATCTGAGGTATCGATATTGTCTAGAGGATTTTCCTTTCATTGCTATTTAACGACTTTTATATGATGCTTTTAAGTCAAGACTAGTAAATTTCTGCAATAAAAACGTTACCATGAGAAAGATAATTCCATAAACAACTTTTCTAACAAATTTGTAAAAGATCTAAAATTAACACTACCACAATATAATATTGAGGGTATAATTAGACAGGCAGTACTTATATGATGGCAAACAAATATAGAGATAATTCACAAAAGAAAATACAATTTTTAAATATTTCACTTTAATTACAAAAACATGGCAAGTGGGGTGGATGGACATAGTTCTGACCACACTAACCCTACATATGCCGAGGTTTCTGAAACAGATGATCTCTGCTTCATTTGCCCAATGGTGATTTAAAAATGTAAACAGTTGAAAATTATTAAAAAAACAATATTTAAATATCGGTTTGTTTTTTTGTCAGTCCGTCTTTTCGTCTGTCCGACTACCCGTCTGTCAGTCTGTCAGTCTGTCAGTCTGTCAGTCTGTCAGTCTGTCAGTCTGTCAGTCTGTCAGTCTGTCAGTCTGTCAGTCTGTCAGTCTGTCAGTCTGTCAGTCTGTCAGTCTGTCAGTCTGTCAGTCTGTCAGTCTGTCAGTCTGTCAGTCTGTCAGTCTGTCAGTCTGTCAGTCTGTCAGTCTGTCAGTCTGTCAGTCTGTCAGTCTGTCAGTCTGTCAGTCTGTCAGTCTGTCAGTCTGTCAGTCTGTCAGTCTGTCAGTCTGTCAGTCTGTCAGTCTGTCAGTCTGTCAGTCTGTCAGTCTGTCAGTCTGTCAGTCTGTCAGTCTGTCAGTCTGTCAGTCTGTCAGTCTGTCAGTCTGTCAGTCTGTCAGTCTGTCAGTCTGTCAGTCTGTCAGTCTGTCAGTCTGTCAGTCTGTCAGTCTGTCAGTCTGTCAGTCTGTCAGTCTGTCAGTCTGTCAGTCTGTCAGTCTGTCAGTCTGTCAGTCTGTCAGTCTGTCTGTCTGTCTGTCTGTCTGTCTGTCTGTCTGTCTGCCTGCCTGCCTGCCTGCCTGCCTGCCTGCCTGCCTGCCTGCCTGCCTGCCTGCCTGCCTGCCTGCCTGCCTGCCTGCCTGCCTGCCTGCCTGCCTGCCTGCCTGCCTGCCTGCCTGCCTGCCTGCCTGCCTGCCTGCCTGCCTGCCTGCCTGCCTGCCTGCCTGCCTGCCTGCCTGTCTGTCTGTCTGTCTGTCTGTCTGTCTGTCTGTCTGTCTGTCTGTCTGTCTGTCTGTCTGTCTGTCTGTCTGTCTGTCTGTCTGTCTGTCTGTCTGTCTGTCTGTCTGTCTGTCTGTCTGTCTGTCTGTCTGTCTGTCTGTCTGTCTGTCTGTCTGTCTGTCTGTCTGTCTGTCTGTCTGCCTGCCTGCCTGCCTGCCTGCCTGTTGTCTGTCTGTCTGTCTGTCTGTCTGTCTGTCTGTCTGTCTGTCTGTCTGTCTGTCTGTCTGTCTGTCTGTCTGTCTGTCTGTCTGTCTGTCTGTCTGTCTGTCTGTCTGTCTGTCTGTCTGTCTGTCTGTCTGTCTGTCTGTCTGTCTGCCTGCCTGCCTGCCTGCCTGTCTGTCTGTCTGTCTGTCTGTGCGTTTGTCAGTCTGACCGTCTGCCGAAATAACCGCCTGCCAACATTTTCGACTCTCCATGCATCCGTCTGTCTGTCTTTAAACAAAACAAAAATCTGTTTATGACAGATCAGATTGCAAACTGTAAAAACAAAGTCTAAAATAAAAAAAAATAATAATCGTACTGTGGTCAGTCCTATTTAGTTGTACCAAACGCTAAATTTTTAAAAAGCTGAGACTACTACACACATACCCTCAAAACATTACCATATGACTTGATAATTGATTTGGTTTTTGTTTTATGTCGAACATATGTTCAACTCATTTCCTTGATCATGTATCGTAAACGAACCATATTATTATATAATTAGTGAACCGCAACAGGTGGTAGAATTTTTAAAAACTACATAGAGAATATCGAATTTTTTTTAAGTCGGTTTGGCGGATAACGGTCAGGGGTTTACTGATTGTGACCAAGAGATCTTGGAAATTTTAAAAGTGCCCCCCCCCCTCCAAACACCTGACTAAATATTGTAATGTTCATTTTTATCCCCACGAAAACCTGAATGTTTAGATCTTAGCATAAAGAAATGGTAAAATACCAAAATTTAAAAAAAAAATTAAAACTTTAATAGGATTGTTACAACACCTAGAGGCCTAGAGGCCCACCGAGATATTTTTCCTGTGGGCCCATTTGTATTTTTCTCGGTAGAGCGGCAGGCCAGTCTACACCTGACCACAGCCAAAGCGTATTGGCCGTTACCCCTAGCCAATCGGCATAATGGCCGACCAATGTCCGAAATAAAATAAAAATACAGCACATTGGCCGGTCATATGTGATATTTTACATTCCTCGCCTGGGCCGTCAAATAATTGTATATACATACATATATATATATATATATATATATATATATATATATATATATATATATATATATATATATATATATTTAGGCCTATGTCGCAGATTAGAGACATTAGACTTTAGTGGACAGAACAGTTATAAAAAACATCACATCACTGTTTTTTAATTATTTTATTTTATTTGAAAATAAAGATATACCAATCAACTAACATAGGCACATGCGATGAGATGCTCCCTGAAATTTATGAATTACATTTAATTATGTTTAGATGTATTCTCACAAGGCACTTAAAAACATCACCGAGTACTCAAATAAACCTACAATATATGCAATAAAAGATTTCTAATTTAGTATAACATTACTTGACGCTGGCTGCTTTATTTATTGATGTCCTATTTAATGTCAAATCGACAGAAATTCTTACTTGTCCTATGTGCTATTTTTACTATTTTAGTATATACTAAGCTCGAATAAAGCGGGAATACTAAGCTCGAATAAAGCGGGAGTGAACTCCCCTAGACTTTCTCGAATATTCTTTTATAACACTACAGGGGATGGCAATTCGGGATATAAACATGATTTTTAACACAGTTTTTGAATATTTAAATTTTCAAAAAAAAAAGAGAATCTCGTAGGAAAAACAATTGCTTTCCTTTAAAGGCAAACAATGTATGTTTTTCTTTTTTTTTTTTTTTTTTTTTCTTTTGAGAAATCGGACATAGCGGTAACGACTACTTCCATTAATCGGAAATAACTGGTTTATAGGTAAAAAAAATGTGTTATTTAGTTTTTAGTCATCGTGTAACAGGTGAGTTCTGCCTGCCCTTTCTATGGCGGCCATCACTCGCTTGACCAGTAGAGCCTCCACGTGGTTATGGGATTTGAGTGCTGAGAATGATGTGAAGGTTTCTGGTGATTTGTGATCAAAGAAGTGAAAGGCTGAAATATATAATAGTTAGCATCAGAATGAACAATATGTACTATATATATATATATATATATATATATATATATATATATATATATATATATATATATATATATATATAGCGAGGGCGGGCGGGGGTGCGGGCCGCACCAGGTGACACCATTTAGGGGGGGGTGACACCAAAGCTAAAAATTGCCAAATTTTCAGAATGAAAACGGTTTTTTACCTGTCCCATTTATAATTTTAAGTACAAATTTAGTAATTTATATAAATATATAGATATATACTTTTTTTTTGGGGGGGGGGGGGGGTTGACACTACGAAGTGCCGCACCGGGTGACACCCAACCTAGCAACGCCATTATGTATAATATGTACATGTATGGTTCATGTTTTTCTCAGAATACATACTGCTCTAATTTTTATTCGTAATGTAAACAATATGTCAATTGACAAACCATTCGCCTCCTCCACATTGATGCGTGTTGTGGGTTTTGGATGATCCCAGTCTTGCCTGTAGTCAGGTAGCCAGGTAGGGTGACATATGCCATAACAACATAGCACCTGTATGGAGACATGTTTTACATATATCGAAGGATTTAACATGTACAGGGTAATGCAAAATATCTACTTTAAACGTTTTGACATATGTTATGGTGTTTGTTAGACTATTAATAATACAGATAAATGATACGTAGAATGAAAATAGTTGCAGTATTTGATAATAGCTTGTATTACATTCACTAAGTTCATTTATTTGTGATTTTTATAAACGCTAGGGTGATCACGAAAGGAGACTATATTCCTTTTTATCGTAATAGAAATATGTACGTTGTGTAACTTTACATAAGACCTATTGTGAAGGTGGGGAAAAGCTGCACCATCAAATGTGAGGGTGGGGTGAAAGAGACGAAACCACATGGTATAGTTTGGAATTAACACACAAAAATCCAATTCAAGATATGACGTTCTTTATTTTAAAAAATCAACCTCCTACTTCTACCTAACTAGTCTATTACTATAATATACTGTCTACTAATACAACTAACTACACACGTCTATCTAACTGCACCCTCCCATGACCATCCCTAACACATTATCTCTAGCTATCTCTAACTCTCTACCAAACTACCTCTTCACATCTCTAACCGTTCCCTACTGCTACCAATCACCAACTGCTGATCTAACTACTGACCCACGCTCCTGTGTTCAGCTGACCGTCCCACGTGACTGGTCAGCTCCTGTATTTTCATTGATCTGTTTAGCTAATTAAGCTATAGTCTGTTTCTTCTATCTACCTGAATTTTACCCTGAACTAGCGTCATCACACCTATATTCAAATTTCATCACTCTACGCCCATGATTCTATTTTTAGTCATACCAGCATAAAGCTTTAAAAAGTTTACACTATGAAAACCATGTAGAAAGACAAAAAAGATTTTAAATGTTATACTTGTTTGAGAAAAATATTTTATAATATAGTTATAGGTTAAAATAAACGCATGAACGATATTAATGACAAAGCAAACATATAACTAATTACCTAAAAATCGGACACATTAAAAATAATATAGGCTAACAATACCTATAAGAAAAAAAAATGCATTATTAGTCAACGAAACACCATATTAAATGCACATAGCCTTCTGATTAAGAGAATTAAATGATTCCGTTAAAAACCCGGTTGTTCAATGGTATTCATGTTGTTTTTAAAGTAGTGTGTATTTATTTTTGGCCGATAAGATTGCATACATTTCATAGCTAACGTCTTGGTAAGTAGTTCTATACATCTAAATCTAATTTGAATGAAATAGTTCATTTCTTCATTTTCTAAAATTGAGAGATCACGCCATTAGTTTTGTGTACTTTCCGTAGTTTAAACATGTGACGGCGTTGTGTTTCGAGTTATTTGTCACAACTATAAACACTTTTCCGGTTGCGTAATTAAAAATGTCCTTCTACATTAGAATATTGCTTTATTTTTTATCTTATTTCTTTAATACAATTTAGTGTATACATTTAAAACATTCACCATATTATTTTCAACAAAAGTCCGTATCTTTAAGTTCTCCTTATATCGCGAAAGATACTGCTCTTTTAGGCTCTGGACATTCGGACAGACAGAGAGAGATAGAAGTTCGCACGTGGCTTTATATATATAGGATTATGAGTCTATTTTCCGGCTAGGTAAACATGAAGACGTAGTTGTCTAATCACCACTAACCTGTAGTCTGTTATCAATATTCAGGGTTTCTGGGTTTCTCTCATAGATCTTGTAGTACATGAAAACTGAATTGGTTGTCCACTTCTCATCTTTAAAATACCTAAATTAAAGGTGGAGAGACAGTAGCAAGTTTAAATATAGCTTGCTAAATTTGTCACAATAAAGTTTATCTGTAATGCTTTTTTTTAAAAATTAGTAAATATCTATGGCAGCTATTTTGAAGGTTGTAATTAATTTTGATGAATTACCTTAATATCCTATGCAAGTATTCATAGTTATTCAATTCATTTAAAATCGTAACTTTTTAAAAAGTAAAATAAAGCGAGAGTGATCTCCCCTAAACTTTCTCGAATCTATCTATCTATCTATCTATATATATAATTCTCTTCTTCGAGCCGTTAGAAAACAAGCTGCAAACGCTCTCCCTACCTCCCCACCCCTACATGGTTTTAGTGAGCTGTGTTCACTCTAAATGTTTACAAGCAGAGCCAACGATTTTAAACGTAGGGGGGGGGGGGAGGAGGGGGGGAGGGAAGGAAGGGGGGGGGGTTATGGTCCTTAACGAGCTACTTATAGTGTTTTAAAGAAATATTTTCAGTGTCAGCGTTGGTACTGTCGAATTCACAAATTATGAATTATTGAAAATTAGAAACAACTAAATAGCGGCGTATGTTATGCCGCGGGCCGGCTTATATATATAATTCTCTTCTGGGAGACGCTAGAAAACAAGCTGTAAACGCGCTCCCTACCATCCCCACCCCTACATGGTCTTAGTGAGCTGTGGTTCACGCTATGTTTACCTTCGTGGAGTCGGGTTTAGTGACGGCTATTAGGGGCAGGTAATTTAGTTTGAAACGACTTTAAACGTTGGGGGGGGGGGGGGGGGGAGGAAGGGGGGGGGGGGAAGGAAGGGGGGGGGGGTTATGGTCCTTAACGAGCTACTTATAGTGTTTTAAAGAAATATTTTCAGTGTCAGCGTTGGTACTGTCGAATTCACAAATTGTGAATTACTGAAAAGTAGAAAAAACAACAACTAAATGGCGGCGTATGTTATGCCGCGGGCCGGCTCGTATTGTTATATAACACTACGGGGGATGGAAACTCGGGAAATAGACATGATTTTTAAATTTGGCTAAAGCCGACTAGTTTAATAGTTATTGTTTTAAATGACCCACACAAGGTGGCACCACTCGGGAATGTAGTGGGGGTGGGGGGAGGGGGGCGAGATGTCACGCTTGGTTACCGCACCGGGTGCCACCCAAACCATTACCGCCAGACCACAGAGTCTACTCCTTTTGCATATTATCAGTTTAAACTAGGGTAGAACATACCAGAAAGATTCCAAGACTTTGACCAAGAACGGCGCTTTAGGTTTGGACACAATCAGCCCGTTGTTAATGACCCGCGGACTGTCGACCCGAGTAAACTCGTAGCTGGCGGTTGTCGGGTACCTTCTTTGTTCTTCAGACAGCGGCTTCACCCAAATTACGTCATTGTCCTGAAACACGCGAGAACTGATCATGATCGTATAACAATGACATAATGGAACGGAGTGGCCTAGCGGTAGAGCGATAGGCTGCTGAACCTTTTTGAGTTCGAATCCTGGTTCCAGGCAGTTAAACGTACCTGAGTTGACCCAGCTCTGATGGGTACCTCACTTTGGGGAAAGTAAAGGCAGCTGGGCATAGTGCTGACTACATTATCCATTCATAGACTGGTTATGCCAGTGTCACAGAAACAGGTTAACTCTGCTTCACTTACCCCTTTGATCGTCAGGTTCGAAAAGGAAAATTTACTTTACTAACAATAGCATTGCCAGGTTGAGCGATAGAGCGTAAGACTACTAGCCCAAAAGTCTCGAGTTCAATCACACATTAGGGTTGTCATTTTATTACTAAGTCTACCCACGTTACTGAAAGTAAAAATGGCTAGTTATATCTTTTTCTTCTTCGTTTTTAATTTTTAATGTTGGAAGGGATCGAGCTTTATCTGCCAGAGGGTTTGAACTCGAGACTTTTTTCTAATTTATCAACCATGAGTTTTTTGCCGTATCGACCACAATTAAGGATACGTGTTAATTGGTTATAAGGCATTGAGGCCATTTCTCCAATTTCAGCCTGCTTTTTGGATTTGCTTCCATAGCCTTTGTCCAACCAAAAAAAAACTACAAGGCAGCAGTTGTTTGATTTTGGAGTTGTCTCTCCTAGAATAGTGGTTGTCCCCAGCTAACGAGCCTTATCTGCCAAAGGGTTCGAACTCGAACCTTTTCGGTTTAGCAACCATGAGCTTAACCGAATCGACAACGCTGACCCCCGGCAATTTGGCACCCCCCCTCCCTCTGGGACAAACTTTTAATTTGGCGCCCACCCCCCATATATTTTTTTTTATTTATAATGCAAAACTGCAGCTCAAATTAGCTTTTAAATTTATTTTTCAACCCATTTTGACGCCCCCTAAGGTTGGCGCCCGGGGACATATGTACCCCCCCCCTCGCTACGCCTCTCGAAAAACTTCAAGGTAAAAATTTGCATGTTTTGTTGATTTATCTAAACTGTGAATGAACTAAACAGGTAAGCAGGGAAGACGAACACTGTAGGCTCCGCCATATTTGTAGAGAATGTTGACTCTATAGATATCTGACTTGTGTTGTATGACGTCCACATCTTGTTGAAACACGGAGTAAGGCTGGTCAACCTACAGAGTATAAAAACATTGTCTGAAATGATGGGTGATAAACTCATAACTGTGCTATGTTTAAATTCATAAAGTTTGTAATTGTTATTAGGCGCTGTATATGTGATGAGCTTTTCATTTATTTCACGAATTTGCTAAGGTATGTAGGTTGCATCATTAAATTTATCTATACAGAGTGGAAGTAAAGTTTTAATTTTTTTTGTTCAAAGTTAAATCTTTGTAGAAAACAAAAACACCGTTTATACAATTAATAATTTAAAGAGATTATCCTTTCGAAACTTGCGGCTATGGGGTAAAATAAAAAAAAAACGTATTTACCTGTTTCTCTGACCTAAGCATTGAAATGCATAGTGTGGTCAACACTATGTCTAGCTGTTTTTGATTTAGTTTTAACAGAAACAGTTAAAATTTGCTTTTTTAGCTAAATAGGTAACTAAACAAATTGTAACACTATAACAACAAAACCAACTTACATATACAAACGTGACGTTTTCTGTCTTTAACTTGTCCCACAGTTTACCTGAAGGCTCTGTGTCACCGTGTACGTACACCCTGTGGGTTTTTAAAGGTGGGATATACGGTAGGTGACACTATTTTTTTTGTTACTTAAATTAAAGTTACGAATTCATCCTCCTTTTACATGATGAGTTTAGTTTTAAACTATTGGCACGACAGACGTTTAGATGAGAGAACTTAACTGCTACAAAGTCAAACGCCAACAGGCTACAGTTCTTCGCAGATAGATCTAGATACAACGACAAATCTTCAAGATAAATTGCCAAAATAATAATAAGTGCTGACCTGTGGAAAATCACAACAAAACAGCCGATAGACAAGGATATTAAATAGGAATAGATCTGTAATCCACTGAGATGTAAACTTTGTGAGGTGACTTTTCACTGGAGCAACTAGGGTTAAAGTGATCCGACCAAAACATTTGCCGTAAAGGATTAATTAAAGATGCAAGGGACGTAGGTCTTACGTAGGCTCAAATAAAGAGAGCTGCTCAAAACAGATAGGTGGAGAGATGTAGCTGCAGACTTTTCCCCCCTCAGATGGCTTTTTAGTTTTAAAGTCACGACTGGTGGAAATTTATTATCATTAAATTCAGTTCAAAACGTTATAGCCCCAAAACCCACCTTTCAAATCCACCAACATACAAAGCCGAGAGGACGCTGACGTAACATTCAAAGTTCCACTTGACCGGGTTGCCAGGCTTTGGGTTTAAGTAGATCATGTGGTTGATGAGTGGTACCAAGTCAGACGGGTCCTGGAATCAGAAGCACCGTTTTAACTTCTAATTATTGACATATGATAACTTAAATAACATGTGTACGTTATTACTAGTCATTCTGAGTAACTACATACAAAATATATATGCTCATAGCGAAAACAAATCCATTTTAAGCCACGTCCACTGAGTATACCCATGCCTAAACTGACACTCGAAATTTACTATTTTCTAAACTCATTATTTGGGATTACAAAAACCTAAATTATTTTAATTTTTTTGAAACAATAATCACCGATACCTATTGAGTTTTATTTTACGTCTCATGTTATTATACTAAAACAGTAGGTCGAAATATTTTTGCCAGAAATAGCTAGATTTTTATTTTTTTATTTTCAATTCTCCAAACCTTGTGAATATATGTGTTGTTAGTTTTTTTTTAATTTTAACATACGAAAATATGAATATAAGTATATTTCATAAAAAGATGGGACAAAAAGTCGCATCCAATCAGCAAATACAGAAAAATAATGGTAATACAATCTTACTATTTTAATAATTTAATTTGGTACTGTTCGCTGAAAGAAGTTTATTTTTAAAAAGTTATATTGCATATGTGTTCATGTTTACTACGGTCTTTGTACTATCAGTTACTTTGTGTGCACGATTAACCGTTGCGGTATTTATTCTGGCAACCCAAAAACGTCTACCAACCTGACTCTGTTGGACATGCAAGCCATCCGTTCTCCCGTAGTACAACCACCTCAGGTAAGAGCTTAATGACGTTAAGCTGTTGACGACTTCCTCTGGGATGAGATATCGTGTAAGAAAAACACAAGGTGATATCTTGTATGATAACCTCAAATTCTGATCCGCCTTCTCAAACTGATCGTGAGAGTAGCATTCGTTTGTTTGGTTTAGGACGTTATTTTTAAACTGTTTGATGTCCGATTCATTTTTACTGTGTATTCCTTGTTTTATGAAGACAATCATCTCTTCACTATTAGAACCGCCGATTTTTTGGTAAACGAAGTTGTTCCCAGTCTTCCATGTATCAGGGACATGTGTCAACACGGCCCTCTCACCTACATAGACGCCCCCAACTTTGTTTGATGCCATTTGTTCCAGAGCAAAGTCCACGGCGTCCATGGTGTTACAGTTGATTGGTCGGTCTATTTTTTTAAAAACCAAATAAGGCAAAGACTGTTTTAATTCTTGGAACCAAGTTTGATAAAAAGGACAATTTACAGAAGGGTAGATATTATAGTGAAAGAATATTCTCAAAGGTTCTAAAATTCTGACAATGCTTAGAATTCCCAGGTAATTGTTGAATTTGAAACATTTATCCCCGCACCAAACATAATGAGCTGTTGTAGGAATCTCTCCAGGGTTAAACTGTTTCATTTGAGGACCACTGAGTATATCTCTTGCCATTCTAAACTCGTTCGCTGCTTCAAGTCTTGCTGCAATACGTTTAGGTATTTCAGGCAGTGGTTCCTTGTTTGGTGTTTCAGGTTCAGGGGTTGCTTGTACGATTACCACATCAGGTTCTTTCTCTAACTTTGGTACTTCTGGCAAAATATCTAACATTAGCTCAGATCTATTAATTATTTGCACAGAAGTGTTCAGAGTATCCGTGGTATAAATGAAACTATCTGTAACCCAATTCTTCATTATGCGAATGGTGAGAAACACCACACATATTATAGTGACACTAATAAACTGTTTCGTATACGGCAACATTGATGATTTTTGTTGGTTGAAAAAATCCTGTAAAAAGTAAATTATATTCAAATAATAATAAATGAACTAAAATTGTGTAAATGTTTGATTAATACGTGTTTATAATTGTATTAATTGCAAGAACTATTATTATTCGAATATTATTTATGTATTTTATGTATATGTACATAGTTATTTCAAATATAAGTAACTAGCCTACCCGCTACGTAGCATACGCCGCTATTTAGTTGTTTTATTTTCCACATTTCAGTAATTCATAAATTGTGAATTTAACACTACCCTCCCTTCCCCTTCCCCGCCCCCGTGAAAGCAACCGTCCGTGACCATTGTTTAAAGACGAATAATGAAAATATCAAGAAGTTCTTACCTCCTCTTAGTTTTAAATTATCTGCCCCTAATAGCCGCACATGATTCGACTCGGCTCTACGATTGTAAACATTTGGAGTGAACCACAGCTCAAAAGATAATCTAACAGGAATGATTTAATCTAATAATTTTAACAAACTACAGTTTGTTAAAAACATTTAAAAAAATGACCAAATAAATTTACATGACATGTTGTTTTCCTATCTATAACCGTAACCAATACCTTTTAAAGCCAAAAATAATCAAGTTCATTGTTGTTCATGTTAAGTCACTCAAAAATTAAAAGTAATCGTATTATAAAATATTATATAGAACGGTAACCAAGCAATTGTGTTTACACACATGCCTACATTTGCAAGCCTGCATTTACATGCCTTTATTTACATGCCTACAATTATATGTCTACGGTTATATGCTTACATTTATATGCCTACAAAGGGCGGGAGAGAGAGAACAAATTGAAAAAGAAAGAAAAAATCGTAATTGAAAGACTGATTCTACTCGACTCAAGAATGTGTCTAATTTGGATATGTATTAAACTTTTGATTTCGATTTTTTTTACACGATAACAATACTTCATCTATATTCCATATACAAGAGAAAGTAAACTTTTTGTTTCGGTTTTAACTTAGCGAATTATACAAATTCTCAAATACAAAATACAAAGATAACTCATTTCCTAAATTTATATGTTTTTAAAAAAAATTTCAAATGCATAATAATAATAAAGGTAAAATATTACTTACTGAATTAAAGCCGACGTGAATGGCTGTATTTTCAATCCTTAAACACACAACTGCAGCTGTATGTTTGTCAATAACTATAAGCATTTCACCGTAAGTATATATGAGTATCATTGATCAATACTTCAAGGGGGGGTAGAACAAAGAAATTTTAATACTCGAGGCTTCTGCTGGAAAAAAATTCAAATGTGCGTTTATTTTTGCATTTAAGCTTGTGTTTATGTTTGGGTTTTATTTTGCAATATTTTAAGTTATTGTTTGCGTTTAGTTTTGCGAGTGTGTTTCTATTTGTATTTGCGTTTGTGTTTGCCTTTTTGTTTGCGTTTTGTTTTCTTTTTGTTTGGGTTTGAATTTGCGTTTGTGGTTGGGTTTGTATTTGCGTTTGGATTTGGGTTTGTTTTCGTTTGCTTTTTTGTTTGCGTTTGTGTTTGTGTTTTCTTTGTGTTTGTGTTACGTTCGTGGTTGGGTTGGTGTTTTTGTTTGTGTTTGTATTTGTATTTGCGTTTGTGTTGTGTTTGAGTTTTTTGTGTGTGTTTTGCTGTTGGTTGGTTGTGGTTAGGGTTAATTCGAAAAGTAATATATTTCCTGAACCCGAGCAATGCCGGTTATAAGCTGATTACTAAACACACAAGTCACGGTTCCTTACAGATAGGTTTTTCACAAAGCCAGTCCAGGGCCTGGCCGGGACGTCTCGTGTGATATGAAAAATAGAATTAGTAAATCAATAATAACGCCTTTGCCTTTTAACTTGAAATCTAAATAAAACAAAAATAAAACAAAAAGATCTATCAGCAATTGATTTATCATGAATGAAAAAATCGAAGTTCAAACATCGCTAAGGGAAACAGATGACACATACAATTATGTCTGATAAATATATTGTGTAGGATTTGTGACAAGAAGATTATGTGTATTAGAAAATAAATGTCAAAAGACACATACATGTGTTTTTGTTTTCTAAAGCAATGTTGTTTTAATGTAATTGCGACATATTATTTGGATTTGAAAACAAACTCTCATTCACCCCTTCTCGATTTCTCGTATTCTTTCTTCTCTGTCTCTATATTTTAATTTGTATGCGTTTGACCAGATTAGTCTAAGCAGATGAAAGTAACACGTAGACCTACAATCGAATATAGACATAATGACATGTATGATACAGGCGGCTACAGTGGCGTAGCCAGGATCGTCTCAAGGGGGGGGGGTTCCAATTTTTTACCCGGGGACAAACTTTCGATTTGCACCCCCCCCCTCAAACTTTCGATTTGCACCCCCCCTCAAACTTTTGATTTGCACCCCCCCCCCTCAAACTTTCGATTTGCACCCCCCCTCATACTTTTTATATATACCGAGGGGTCTATGGGGGGGGGTTATGACCCCCCCTAACCCCCCCCTGCCTACGCCACTGGGCGGCTACATCCACATTTTAGTTACAATGTTTCTTATTGTAATGTTGGACCGGATTTCCTCAAACACGATTACGTATTATGTTTTAACCGGTATTGTGCCTTATTAGTCGTTGCCTCTGATTTGAGCATAATTTTCTTTTTAAATTTGCTTTCATATGCCTTTACCATTAAAGAACAAACTAAAAGGCAGCAGGCGTTTGATTTTGTAAATGTCTCTCCTAGATGGGTTACTGTCCACAGGTATCGACCCTAGGCTACAGGGGGTTCGAACTCGGGACTTTTAGGTGAAGAAGCAATTAGCTTTACCGTCTTGACAGGCAGACCCCTTAGTCGCTGTATATTTAATAAAAATATAATAAATCTGCGATTACTTTAAATATAAAACAATACTTTCTTTAAATATATTAATGCATTACTATTTATATCACTATAAATAAAAGCGTGGGCCGCTATAATAATAAGTATTTATTTTATTTATAGTAATATAAATAGTAGTGCATTCATATATTTAAAGAAAGTATTTTTTATATTTAAATTAACCGCTGATTTATTATATTTTTAAAACTAATTTTATATTTAATAACAATTGTATTATTTTCTTCTTTTTATTACATTTATAAAAGCTTGTAATTATAAACGTTTTTATGTATTTATTATTTTTATACTTTTTAGTATTAACGAGTTAAACGCATGTTAAGACAATATAGTGTAGCAACAAATATATGATACGCAATTTGAAAAACAGTTTTGCTTATATAATATGATTAGTTTTACTATACGTGTCACATTTACGGATGTTTTATTTACAATTAAATAATTGCCACAATTAGCTGAACACACATCATAGAACACCATTCTTTAACACTTCTTTAACCGAAGACATTAATACTGTTCAGTCTGTGGTCAAGTTTATAGCTAAAGTTTCAGTAAAGAATTATGGGAAGGCGTAGACTAGTGGTAAGGAACTAGACTGCTGACCCGACTAAAATAAAAACCATTGCGCGCCTATTGAACGTGATGACGCGCTTTTGTCGTTGACACCCCCCCCCCTCGCTCCAAGACGGCCGTGATGACGCGTGTGGATAGAACTGCATACTAATTCGGTCCACATTTTAATTGATCATAAAAGTTTAATTAGGCGACCAATTAAGTCAAATTGAATGACACGATGCATTGTCTTTATGTCTTGACCCACGTACTAATTACGAACAGTACCTGTCAGTTAGAAAGTTTCCCTTTCAAACCTAACGGTCTATGTAGCAAGTGAAGTAGAGTTCACTTGTTTCTGTGACTTCGGCATATGAAGAGATAGTGTGGTCAGCTCTATGCCCAGCCGCCTTTACTTCCCCTAACGTGAGTTAGGTACCCATCAGACTTGAACCCGGATTCGAACTCGAGACAAACGGGTTAGCAGTCCAGCTCTCTACCGCTAGACCACTCCGTCCCATTGTCAGTTAGAAGTGCCTGCAATTTCGCTCGGCCGTTTCGATCTAGACAGACAGACTGATGACAGGGGAAGCAAGTTAAATAAAATTTAGTAATAATAATCATTAAAAAAGTTTTTAAAAACCCACGTTTTCTGATTGAACTAAAAAGTAGAAAATAAATACTATACATCACAATAATGCAAGCGATCACTCTACTATAAGCGATGAAAAACGTGGGGTGCCGAAGTAAAAGTTATATTACTATTGATTAGATAATACTATTGACTTTTATTAGGGAGCTTGTAGAGAGTCAACAGTATTAGAAACTAAGAAAATCACGGCGCCCCACGTTTTTCATCGCTTATAGTAGAGTGATCGCTTGCATTATTGTGATGTATAGTATTTATTTTCTACTTTTTAGTTCAATCAGAAAACGTGGGTTTTTTTTAAACTTTTTTAATGATTATTATTTTCTACTTTTTAGTCTTTGTCTGTTTGTTTGCATTGAAATCTTGCTATCGATTTTATGTTTTCACTTTTTTTTGGTAAACGAAGACAACTCGTAAAAAGACACCTCGTAAAAAACGAGAGACCCTTTCTTCTTCGGTCTCAATCCCAAGTGAATGATTGTCAGAGGTTAGTTGATAGCGGTTAGGACGAGGGCTGGTTACTGACTAGAACACATAGATTTGAACCCGTGTCGAGTGGGATAGCAATCGTGTGCCCAACCACTCGACCATATCGTCTCCCCCAAACTGGCCACCAGTGGTAATAGTTACCTCCTGTAAGTTTAAAGTCGGTTCAAACTAAATTATCTGCCCCTAAGCCTGTCGCGACGTGGGATCGTTCGCTTCACTGCGCGCGGCAAGAGAGAGGCGAGCTACGCGTCGCTGGTTTTTTTTCTAATGGCTCGCAGAGGAGAATTATATATATAGATTATATAGCGGTCTAAAATGCTCAATAAAATGTTTCCATTGATCAATTTAGTAATAATAACAATTGAATATTCTATGGTCATCCAAAAGAAAGCTTCCCTGAAAATTTCAGCGCGCTAGCTAACTGGGAAGTGCCAGAAATTTCGATCGCAAGATTTGATTGGAAAAACAAACAAACAAACAAACAGAGAAAGCAAGTTAATTGAATGTTGTAATGTATGATCAGATTAAAATTTAAATACTCGTGCATTGTCGGTACAGTTGAACATTAATGCAAAAAGCCATCGCCCCATTGAATGGAAATACAGTTACACCATTGGACAACAACAACCAGCGCATGCTAATTGGTGAGCTCAAACCTTTAGCGTCGCGCTAGACCTGCACAGTGTTTCTTCCAGACTATTTCTCCGGGGGTGGGGGCACTTGAAATTTTTTGTGGGGGGGGGGGGGCGGTAGACTTTCTTCGGTTGGGGGGGGGCGGACACTGTTAAAAGTATATATTTTCTATATAAATTATATAACTTTCATTTCGTTCGGGGGGGGGGGGCGGTAAAAAATGTTCGGGGTGGGGGGGGGGGGCTTTAGATGCCTGGAAGAAACTCTGGACCTGCATGCTATTACTGATTGCTTTTTTTTTTAGTTTTGTGCCAGAATATGGTTTAAAATATGGAAACAAATATGTTTGTTTGGCTTCATAAATAAAACGAGCTGACCAGCGGAGTTTCATACCCGATATTTAATTGATCCCCCCCCCCCCCGCCACCATGTAAGCAGCCGTCCGTGACGACAGTTTACGTACGACAATGAAAAGATCAAGCAGAACTTGCTATTACCTCCCCTTAGTATCAAATCGTTTAAAAGCTAAATTATCTGCCCCTAATGGACGGCTCTAGAATTGTAACATTCGGAGTTAACCTTAGCACACCAGAATGGTGGGGATGGGGGTGGTAGCTATATTCCTAGAGAGCGAGGGAGTAAGGGCGTGCGTTTATGTGGCGTTGTCTCGTAAGGTCCTCTTGAAGAGAATTATATATAGAGATAATATAAATTTAAAAAAAAAATGTCCAATCTATCACGCCTTTTTAATTTTTTTTTAACGGCTCGTGGTGCTATTTTACATACCATTACCACAAAAATTAGGATATTTAACTCTAATGTCAAGGCAGTTCTGCTGTATGGAGCAGAGACATGGAGAGTCTCCAAGGCAAGCACAGCAAAGATACAGACCTTCATGAATAGATGCCTTAGACAGATACTGAAACTGAGATGGCAGGACAAAGTACCAAACTTGGAACTATGGAGGAAAGCTAGGCAGG